GGGGGGGGGGGGGGGGGGGAAAAGTCTTACCGAAGTGAAGAATTAAGATTTAGGTGCCACTCAGGGCTCCAGCACCGGATTGAATGATTGACTTAATACAGATTACTTTTCAAGACGTAGATTTATTGGACACCAGGTTAAGCAATGCCTACCTGGTTTCTTGATTGCTGTTGTTGCTGTGTGGCTGGCTCTTGGTGGAGTCAGAAGAATTAGACTCTGAGTAGTTGATGGATGAAGGTGAGGATGAGGTGGATGAAGAGGCCGAGGAGGATGTGCTGGGGTATTTCATGTTGCTGCTAACAACGCTGCTGTGGCTCTTTGATTTTTTGGAGGGAGTCACCCCATTACTGCATGTTGGGCTGTCGACACCTGGAGGAAGGAGCAAGATGAATTAAATAATCTTCATGACATGTAATACCCAGATTTGATGATTCCGAAATGGGTCTAAAAAGCAAAAAAAAAAAAAAACCCACCTCCAGTGTGTATGTGTGAATTTCCAGCCCCCTGGTGAGGGCTAAGGTTGGGAGAACCAGGGTAACTTCCCTGGGATTTGGGGGAGCGGATGGTCAAGCAGCGAACCTCACTGTCTGTACCGTTGACCATTTCCACAAATTGACGACACCTAGAAAACACACAAACTGGCGTTACTGAATTTTACAAGAAATACCAACCTTAAATAAGGCCAACTTACTTCAACATAAACAGAAGGTTAGGATTGTGTTCTAACAGGCCAGGATAAAGTTGCTGAGTGGCTTCAATGGCTTCACCCACACGCCCCTCCAACACCAGCTTCTGTATTCCTGTTCAACAAAGTAATTGGATGCTTGAATAAGGTTATTTGGGGATTCCTCGGTTTACGATGAATCAAACGAATCATGCGTATCTAATGTGGAGATTCCCGACCAGTATGCCGAGGCACATTACTGCACCGTTAGGGCTCTTAAGATATGCGGTGGGAAATTAATCTTTTTTTTTTCAATAACAAATGATGTATCTTGTGAATGCATCGATGCCTGTATCTTAAAGTGACAGAAAAAAAATTCTATTACCTGTCCGAGAGTACAGTAGTATCTACTTTGTGTGTGTGTGTGTGTGTGTGTGTGTGTGTGTGTGTGTGTGTGTGTGTGTGTGTGTGTGTGTGTGTGTGTGTGCGCGCGCATGCACACGCACATGTGCGCGTGCGTGCGGTTTATTCACTTACTCTGTCTGTTTTTTATTGATGTTTGGTCTTCTTGTATCATGGTCTCTGTGGCTCTAGCAAAAGCAGTGGCAGTGGCATAGTATCCGTGGTGGACCAGGTAGCTGGACACCATACTGGAGTCAAAGTAAATAAATTAACACTTGACTTTCCTTAGAACAATAGCGAAATGAATTTCAAATATCAAATGACAACTGCCGCTTTACTCATATAATTTTGTAGGTTAGTTGAGGTCAACACAGTATCTTAGTAAGACAATGCAGCATGACAAATACTCAACATCTTCTATTATTGCATTTAAACTACAAACAAGACTCAATTCAAGGAAAGACTGAAACGGAATGAAACTTTACTTCTGCAGGACAGCTTGCCAGTCACCCAGCCTTTCTCCTATTGGGAAGCGAGCGATCATCCCATGGATTTTAGCTCTCCATTCACTCATGTAGTCCTCAATGTCGAAGACAAATGGCTGCTGTCCAAAGTTTGCATCGACAATCTCGCCCGGAGTTTGAAGCCCAACGGTAGGGTACAGGTTAGGCTGGGTTAATAGCAGGGTGGAAAAGTTGAAAAAAACAAGATTATACCGACAACGCAATGAGGCGTCACGTCACTCTCGAACCGCTGTATGGTGTGTTCAGTAACAGCAAACCTTTCTAGTGAGTACCAAAAAAGGAACTAACCGGATCAAAAATGTGATCCGGTTGGTGAAATACGATCAACATATCGGGAAATGTTTCAACTGTCAACATTGGAAGTGGTCCGAAGAATTACATACTATCCTCTTATTGGACAAAATGTGATCACATGATGATCAGTGGAACAAGAGTTAAGCAAAGGAAGGAAGGGAAGTCTACGTCAAGTGCAGTGGACATAAAAAGTCTACACACCCCTGATGAAGCGCCAGGTTTTTGTGATGCAAAATCAATGTGAAACATTTTGCTTTTGTAAAATGGGCACTCTTTTTTACCCCCCAAAATCAGGCAGATTGTAAAGTTATCTTCAGTGCACATCCTGTTTCAGATCCTTCCACAGATGTTTGATCGGACTCAGTTCTGCATTCTGGATCGGTAATTCCAAAACTTTAACCTTGATTAGATTATTGTCATGCTAAAAGATGAGGTTCCTCAGCTGTCCAGCCGAAGCGTGTAGGTTTTGTGCCAAGGAACGGTTCATAACTTGTTCCACCTTTACTCAGGCCCCAGTTCCAGTTGAAGTAAAACAGCCCCATGACTATGCCACCACCCTGCATCACTCTAGATGCGGCATTTTCGTTATGAGCAATGTTGTGTTTGCGGCAAACAACTTTTGAAATCTTTGCAAAATGTAGCCAGGCTTTGAGGTTTATTTTGAAGGGTAAGACTTCTATCCATCTTGTCACCCAACCCCATATCCCAGACATTTGAAGAAGACGGGTGTCACATGAAGCGAACAGCCAATAGTTGCCAACACTTTCTGCAGCGTCTTCAATGTTGCTGCCAGCCTCTTCGCAGCCTCCCTGACTAGTTTTCTTTTTGTTTTCCTCATCAAATTTGGTGGGACATTGATAATGTCATTATTGTCCTCAACTTTTCTTAACCTGAAGTGTTTGTCTTTCCGGTTCTCCATGATGTATATTTGAAATTGTTTTGTATTCTTCTGTCTGGATCATGGCTTATGCTGTATCATGTCCCTAAAAACTAGAAAGAAAAGCCCACTAGAACATCTAAAGCTTAACTGTGGTTAAACAGGGGCACTTCAAATGGCAAGAAATGTATACTGACTCCCATTTAACATGAGCTAGAATGCCATGAGTTAATTCTGAACACCGACAAGTAGTAATCTCAAAATATTTGTAAGAAGTTTTTTTCAATTGAGTGATTCAGGTTATTAATACAGTTTTGAAATTCTTTCTCTTCGTCTCATCTCTTGAAATCACAAAAACCTGGGATTTGAACAGGTACGTGTAGATTTTTTTTCTATCCACTTTAAGTCAATCAAAGTACAGGTAAATCTCAATACAGCCTTGAAGTTGAGAAGGTGGCATCGTGTAGACAAAGATCACGCCATAGTACTTACAGGGAGGTCTGTGAAAGCCACACCTGGAAGGTAAAAGAAAATAATTTTTGTAATCTGTGATTTCATTAAATTAATATGATTAATATGTTTCATTGGTGCATGGTGATTGCAAATGTACCATAATTTCTTGAGAATTACAAATCAGGGGGGAAGAGGGGATAATACACGAATACACAAAAATTAAGAAAATTTGGCATATCGTGTGGACGTTTACCGGTACCGAGGGCTTGTGAAAAAGGCATAGTTCCACTCCAGAGGCGATTGCTCTAAGACTGCAAGGGAAGCTCAGCTTCCCCCAAAACGTCAAAAAATAAGTGATCAAATATATGTGTGTACATACAATTGTGTGTACATGTCATTGACTAAATATGCGCAACAACGCGCTTAACTTTTGTTCCGAATCAGCTTCTTATTACTGGTTACGACGCGACTCTCTTCTCATTCATTCCCGCAGTTTCACTGTGCTTTAAACTGTGTGGACACTGAGCGTCTACAGCGTGGACGCTGGTCATCGAGAGAGTTGGGCTGGCCCGGACGCTAAGCTTTTCTGCATGATGATTAGATGATCTGTCTGAGGCTGAATCTCTTTTTGATTGACAGCGAAATGAGCCAATCACCGATCTTTTGGTGTAGGCATCCGTGGGAGCATTTTTCAATTCTCATTCTGTTCTGAGTTGAACTGGAGACTTCTTGTAATCATTTTAGCGACACTCTCTTTGTTGAAAACGACTAGCGACAAATTAGTCTTTTATTTCTGGTGGGTTTTATTGTAAACAGATCATTTTCTTGAAAAGGAAGGGATTCACGTATAAATAAACGGACACATTTTATGATGTAGGCCGAAATTGAGCTTCCCTTCCTTGATAGACCAGCAATCCACGCCAATATTAATCCACCACTCCAATATGATATGTAATGCCTAACTTTACAAATGTAAATGTAATAAGAGAATTTTCCCGACTTATCGTGAAACACAGAGCACTGCGGGTGCTGCTATATAGATACCATACCATAGCGTCTTCTGAGCGCCGCCATGTTGGTATCATATTTTGGTGTCTTTCACGACGCACAGGAAACTTTTAAGTCAATGAACTGCGTTTATTGCTGAAAAAAAACTAACTGTACAGCCATAGCGCATACATAGATATATGGCCAAATGGGTAGGTGATAGAGGCTCATACTTCAAACTGCAAAATGCTTTGGTGAGCATATGCAATCTGGTGCTGTTTCCAGTGCATAGCCCAGCCAGCCACCTCGTCAGCAGCCCCTCCTCGCCCCAGCTTCCCTGGGCCGTCGACGGAATCGGACGTTCTGCAGGTTTCCTCTATGGGGCGATCGCAGGCCCACTGGCTGGTTGGCCATGTGTGGCAAGGGGACCGCGCGCCCTGTGTCTTTCATAACGAGACGGCACGCTCTTTCTTCAGAACAGAAGTGTGTGCAGGTGGCGGATATTGACCAAATCAGCGATAAAGAGGGTCACTTTCAAACATACCGAGACTGTGTTTTGAGGGAGCCTGAAAAGATTTACTTGCACATGTTGAAAAAGTAGTGGCATACGCATATCAAAAATCAATCAGTTTGCGAGCATGAATACCAGCAAAAAGGGGGCGTGTAGTACAGAGAGAGAGGAAAAAAAAAAGCAGCTACCATATGGCAATTTGGGAATGGTGCAAATTGACATGAGTGTGTTTTATTCTCGAAAAATTATGGTACATGGATCCATTTCCACTGACCTAAACTGATGCCATTTTTGGTGTAAAAGCAAGTGTTGTTGATGAGGTTAACGCAGCAGCCAATGACATCACCCGTTGTGAAAGTTGGACCGTATGGTTGGCCAGTCCCAGAGGAGCAGAAGGAGTGGCCATCATCTCCATGGTAACCATATGAGTGCTTGTCCCATCCTGAAATAGGGCAAGGATTAGGATTAGCTTTTACTTTATACTTTCAACCCATGTGGAAAAATAAATAAATAATGCCTGTCACGAGGGCACCGAGCGTGTGAAATATCCTAAATTTCAACTAAATCAGTGAGTCATGTTCATTGGAACAGGAGTGGCTCCGTCATTCATTTATGTTTGACGCTCACAATCATCGGCAATTTCCCAGCAACTTTGCACTGATGAGATTTCTTCAGAATGCAGTTTCCGAGTTCATGGTGCAGTGAAATAGATGGCCAGCTGGGGGCCCTCTTGAGAGAACACACAGGTGAGTCAGTCAGTAGGCACAGCAGCACGCAGAACGCAACCCAACTCAGCAGAGGTTAGCACTTCAGGGAGTGACCATAAATATGTGTCTAAATAAAGGGGTGTTCACACGGCAACTTTTACTCCGGTGTTGCACCGGGGCCACCCCCCGTAGAGTGTTCACACGTACAACGTTATGCTGGTGTAGCCCCTGAAAACAGCTTAAACCGGAGCAAATTTAACCCTGCTCAGGAGGTGGTTTAAAAATTGACTCCGGAGTAAATGCTAGTTTGCGGGGCAGCACCGATATAAAATGGGACGTGTGAACGCTACAGGGGTAGACTCGCTACGCGTGAGAAGAGTTGATTACATACGGGTACTGTATTTGTTGCCAAATGAATCGTAGAATGCGTTGCTTTCGTGCTCTGTTGTACTTCCGCCATCTTTCCTCTCTCTCTCTCTCTCTCTCTCTCTCTCTCTCCCTTTTACGATGTCTGATAGACCACAGCGTTGATTTGTCTGGAGAAGTATAAACCATGGTTTTTCGATATGTCACAAACAAGGCGGGGAAAAGGAAGTACACTTTACGCATGCACATGTTTTATTTCCGTATTATTATTATTAACGTATTGCACGGCTGCAGAAACTGCCGTATGAGCACACTTCTCTTTAGTAAGCAGCTTTTTACGTGTGAACGCGCCACAAAATTTACACCGGTGTAAGATATATCGCAACAAAATACATCGGTGCAGCACCGATGCAAATGTGTGCCGTGTGAACACCCCTTAAGTAACTGTTTTTTTCATCCAGAATGTCCTCTATATCAGGGGTCCCCAACCGCCGGTCCGCCGGGCATTTGGTACCGGGCCGCACAGAAAGAACTTGCCTTAATTCAGTTTTATTTATTTCGGAATACGAAAGATGTTTTATTTTGAAAAATTACCGGATTCTCCGTTGCATCCGTCTGTGTCACGCTTGACACACGTCAAGCCACGCTTCTCCATCACGTGACCGATTACTTCAAAACAAAATGCAGGAGCTCGCAACATGAGTAAAAAAAACAGCTGGAGATAGCAAATGACGGCGGCCTTAAAAGTACGTTCGAGACAACTGGATCAAAGTTATGGCTGAATACTCTGAGATCGCCACAATAGCACTGTTGCTATTTCCGACATGCTACCTGTGTGAGGCGGGGGGTTTCTGCAGCAACGGCGACGAAAACAAAATTACGAAGTAGACTGGACATAAACCACACACTTGAGATGTCATTGTCTCCTTTTACCCCGAGATGGGACCGTCTGGTTGCAGAAAACCAAGCTCGGTGCTGTGGTGAGTCGTCATTTTCATGTACTTTGAATTTGCGTTGTATCGTATTTTGAAGGCATTAAACATTGCCATAGCGATCGGAGTGTTGCGGCCAGATTAGACGCTCCTTGTGTTTATTATTATATTTAGAAAACACCACAGTTTTCATGCAGCTCATACCATATTAATTTGTTGTATTATTTCCACCACACCTTAAATGCCGGTCCCTGAAAATATTGTCTGACATAAACCGGTCCGTGGGGCAAAAAAGGTTGGGGGCCCCTGCTCTATATTACTTATCCTCACGGGGCACATCCTAAACGTGTACAGTCAACGATTGCAGGATTGATATTAAAATCGTATGCACATGAATATAATGACATTGAGTAGCTCTTAATTTCAAAACCTCCAACAAATCGACTCCTTGGAGCAGACAACAGACCAGACATCATCAAAATTGGGCATTATTAAAATGAGTCACCATCATTAATTTCAATGTCACCCTTATTAATCCATCCATCCACCCACCCGCCCATCCGTTATCTGAACCGCTTGTCCTCATCCTTTTAGAAGTGCCTTTAAGACCATGTTCTGAAGAAAGTGGGAAGCAAACTTCACCAAATTTTTGAGATTTACTGGTTTCGTCCACATAATGACGCAATCAATCATTCATTTGGAAAAAATGAAAATTATATATCACTACATACCTGGGATTGAATGTCTGGATTTTTAAATGACATAAATATATGACATTGACAGTGAATGATTTGTTTAATTAGGCTGTGTCTACATGCACAAGAGCTCCATGCTGCCCAGCACGTTGCAGCATTTTGTACTACTCCATTAAAGGTGCGCAACTCTAAATTCAAATATGTCTGAAAATTGTCAAAAGTGTCAGTCTTAAAACTATTTAGAATTTGGTGATATCGCGGCGGCAGGAAAGATTAGCTGCGACACGGCGGGGGTTCACTGTACTGTTTCATTAAACGAGTGTAGTTAAATGTGCACCGTGTGCATCAAAGTGACTTCAATACTTGTATAATTTGGATACTTGTGTGTTTTTTGTTTGTGTAGTCTCTGTATGGTGAGGTATTAGATTAATCTGCTGACAGGGATATTGCCTCTAAACCCAGGCTCACTGCTCCGACATGCTAATGAAATGGGCAGGCCTCCACAGCGGGATCAGACATAGAGGTCAGCAGTAGAGAACATTGTACTATCAAGGGACACACAACGCAAAGATGCATGAACTCCCTTCCTTGCATGGGCATGTAAACATGTAGTCTACAAATAGATCCCGAGAGAAGAGGTAGAGACGTTCCCTCACAGTCAGCGGGTCCAGAACAGATTGATTGACAAGTATACACGAGAAAATTAACAATATACATTCAGACTTTCAGCAATCAACAGTAATCTGTTCAGCAGGGCGACAGTCCATCGGAGTCCTAGCAACCAAAAATATTTTCATGACTGTTTGGATGGACAGAATTAGAAAACACATTCATCCATGCAACCCTGTTCCATCCTATTCCACCCGATGACACATTGGAATCAAGAAGAATGATCTTTGTTTGTGAGTGTATGTAAAGTCAGGTGAACTGGTTGCCCTTGTGTCCACTGCATTCGACAAACTCCAACCAACAAAATATATCTTGACTGGTCAATAAGCGGGTCAAATGGCTCCAGACAGACCTGGAAGCGCTGCAATGTGGTTTGTTAGAAGAGGGGAGCCATTTGATTGGAAGGGGCAGGCCATCGGCTTTAGTCATGCTTCCAGCTACTGTAGTGTAGGCCAGTGTGCTGGGACATTCATTGATGTCATTGTATGTGGGTAAACGTGACTCAGTGAGCATGTGCATGTGTAGGTGTGCCTGTGTATGTGCGTGTGTGGGTATATGTATTGTTAGTAGAACAAACGAAAGCTATTGAAGGAATTCTTTCTTTCAGGAGCAATTTTGCTAATCAGTGACTTCATTTGAGGAGCAACTTTTTCATTTTGGGGGGCAATTTTTTTCAGGTTAATCCTAGGGACATGAAGTAAAAGATTCTATAAACCCTTTCTTTCACCAATAATGACAACCTGATAACATGATAGGCTGTCCACTGTGGTGACCGCTGTCCCTGAAAGGGTTTGACAATAAAAATATGACCATATTATGAATGAACAATTGGTTTCCTTTTCATATTCATCTATGTTTTTAATTTTTAAAGTTACATTATGAATGGGAACAAACTATTTTCTTTCTACAAACATTTTCACTGGGGCAATTTCATACTCAAACGTAAATTTCAGTTTAAACTTAGTATTGTATTTCGGAATGGATTGCATTTAGCAAAGCTGAATTGTTTTTAAAACCAAAGAAAAGATCAAATTGACTGTAATGTAGGTTTGAGAACAAGTATTGTGTATAACTCCAAAGTCAAAATCAACAGACAGGAAATCAAGGTCCATAAAAAATACCTGCCGCACCTTGGCTTTAGCAACAAGTGCTTGAATTCAAACAGCAAGTAAATTAGCTTGTTTATAACTCATTCGCTCCCAATGACATTTGACTATATTTATATATGTATTTTTTTTCTTCTTCCCCATATACTCGAGTCAAGGACAGTCTGGAAATGAATGGCAGAAAAGAGCAAGAACAAAGGAAGTCGTCAGCTGTTTCCAATAAGCATATACAGTCGAGTATGTCTGTGTGTTATTGTACCTAATGCTGTCCCGTCTGTTTTTAAAGTAGCAGTCGTTTGAAGGAAAAAGACAATGTTCATTGTAAATTATCCAGCCGGTCCAGCAGCTTTCCTAAAAACTATGGATCAATAAATACCGTTTCAAGGTCAACATTTTTGCTAGGCACTCCAGATTTTCAAATTGTTAGCTTAATGATCAAAAAAATTAAATAAAAGCACATTAAGCAGTGCCCCAAATACTATGAGTCAAACAAACCAAACAAATTAAATGACAATTAATGTATTTTGATAAAATGGCCAACATTTGTCACAGTGTGTGTTTACTTAGTGCCTGTACATACTGTATGTTGTAGGCATACAGGTATGTACAGTACGCATAAGTGTAAGTGCAGTTGTATACTTGAGTAGCTCAATATATTTCCTTTTTTCATTTTGCGATATACTGCATGCATTATATTAATATCAAACAAGTTAAAATACACAAAGAACAAGGGGTGCCACTAGATACATTTTTTTTTACTTCCATACTTCCAAACTTTGCTAAATTATGACCATTTATGTTTTTCTTCTTACAAGTTTTTTTTAATTCCCTTTTACTTCCTCCCAAATGTGTTATCTGTTAATTTGTTCAATAAACAAACTCATTCAAATTTCAGCCTCATGAGTAAATATTTTCTGATTTGTGTCGTCTTCTACAAAAGCAGAAACATCTTTGTGTTGAACCCAAACAAGTCATTTGAAAACATCTGTTTTTACTTGAGAAAACAACAGTCAGTATATTTTCCCAATTTTTATAACGTTACTGCAGTACAATGGCTCACTCGAGATTCTTTGAATTGTGTCACTCGCCAGAGATTGCTGAACAAAAGCATTTTAGTTGTTAAGCATGTTGCTACGGGTGTAATTGATGAACTTGGGTGAGTTGTGTTTAAAAAAAATATATATATATATATATATATATCTTCTGCAGTGTTGCTTCTCTTCCAAGGAGTCGTTCTCCTGTAAATGTGCGAGAGCACAGTGCAGAATGCTCAATGAGATCAGAAAGAACCCCAGAGTGTCAACTGAAGTCTTACAGAAATCAATGGCACATGTCAACACCTCTGTTGAGAAATCTTCCATATGTAAAACATTAAACAAGAATGGAGTTCATGGGAGAACACCAAGGAAGAAGCCGTTGATTTACAAAAAAAAAAAACAAACAAAAAAAAAACATAACATTGTTGCACATTTGAAGTTTGCTAAAGAGCACTGGGATGTTCCACTGCCCTAATATTCGGTGGACAAAATGAAAACAAACTTGAATTGATTGTGAGGAACACACAATGTCATGTGTGGAGAAAAAAAATGACATAGCACACTAACTCAACTTGAAACCTCCAACAAAACACATAACCTCACAACCCTATCCCAATTGTGTAGCGCGGTAGAGGAAGCATCATGGTATTTGTGCGCTTGCTGCCTCATGGCCTGGACAGCTCATTATCATCAATGAAATAAAAATATCAAGTTTATCACAAGAACTAAGAACTCGAGGCCATCTGGCCAACAGTTGAAGCTCAAAAGAGGATAGATATTGCATCAGAAGAATGATCCAATACAAATCAACAACAGAATGGCTTCATAAGGAGAAAAGACATGTTTTTGAGCGGTCCAGTCAAAGTCCTGACCCGCACCCGATTGAGATGCTGCGGCATAACTTCAAGAGTGTTACCCACAGCAGACATCCCAGGAATCTTGCATGAGTACAAGATTTCTTATAAAGAAGAATGGTCCAAAATTCATCCTGATGGTTGTGCATATCTGGTCTGCAACAAATTTTTGGGCGAGTTGTTGCCAAAGGAGGCGAGACCAGTTATTAAATCCAAGAGTTCACTTATCTTTTCCTCCTTACCCTGTTATTTTCGACACAAATATGAAAACATAATTGTTGGTGTGGTATTAGTTTAAGCAGACTGTTTATTCTTGTGATTTAGATGAGGACTACATTTTATGAAACTTAAAAGAGTTTCCAAAGTGTATTAAGCTCTTGTTTTGAGCTTACGGTTGCCCCCGGGCAATGACAATTCTATTTGCACCGATAACTGAACATGTGTACCAATATTATTATCACTGATGAGTCCAGAGTGTCCTTACGCAAGTGAGAATCAGAGGTTCACAATCTGTAGAAGGCGAGATCCAGGTTACCTGCATGTTGATTGCTGCACCAATACGGTAAAATCTCACATCAGTTGACTTTCAACAAGTCCGGGTTGGCGAGTAGAATGCCATCCAAGAGCATTGTGTGACAAGGGTTACTGGTTCTAGGAATAAATTCTGTCCTTCGTGCGTCTTTGATAGACTTTAATCCATTCAGAACCCCCAGGAGGAGTCAATAGTGCAAGCAGAACAAGCTGCTAAGGTGGAGGCAGCAAAGACTAGGACACATTTTAAAGGTGCTATACACAAATGTACACTCCATACAAATAGAGCATCATTTAAAAGGGCAATGTTCAGGCTGTCCAACAACAATGTTTACATACAAAACATGATTTATCAAACACAAATTACAAAGCTTTTTATTATACATTTCACAATTGCTCCTGGTCATGCAATATCAGTCACTTGTTACTCACCAGGCAGTCTATTCATGTTGACCCCTTGTGCCGACAAGCCGATTCCCATGTAGCTGCATGCAAAAAATAAAGGAAAAGGTGTAAACAATAAATGCTTAGCATTAATTGATTCTCTACATACATGTTTTTTTGTTGTTGTTGTTTTTTTTTTAATCACACCAACTACTTCTTTTGAATTTGGCATCTTTACTGCATGTAAATGTCTTCATAATGAAACTTTGGCTGATGGAGCCAGATGACGAGTCATTCAGTCTGAAATCTGCAATCTAACACAGTTGGCCTTTTAAAGAAGGAAGGCAAGAAAGAAAGAAAATTATTTTTTTGTTTCATTCACGCTAAAATGACAACCCAATCAGTGTCACTTTTTGGTGTGAGGGAGCAAACTGAACACCAACAGAGATGGGAGAAACTCCAAGGATCATTAATTTGAATTAATGGACTAGCTTGTCAATGACCTTGGCAAAGATAGGATGTCAAAATGCATGGCTTGCACCTCACAGAATGAAGAAAACCTGTAACCTCATTCGTCATTACAAAACCCACAAAGACAGGTAAGCTAATGTCATAGTTTAGCTAGCGATGTGAACAGTGGTTTGGGGCCAGTAAAATCGTGATTGTGGGGGTTTTTTTGTATTAATTTTGATGATGAAATGATAAGCACGGACCTGAGAACTAAAATGGAAAATAATTCTTTAGTCTTTATCTTATTTGAGAGAAATGTGTGAACAGAGTGAGAATTGGAACATTGTACTTAATCGTTGACTAAATCAAAGGTTTTCCAATAATACACTGTGTGTGCCAGCGCGAGTCAAATGCAGTAATCTGATTCATATTGTGTTCATTGACTAAGAATGAAACAGGATGGTTTTTTTTTTTTTTTAAACTGATTCATTGCCAGTGATGGCTATAGAATTCCAAGAACATCCATTTTAATTTGGCTGGCAGTGAATGAATTTTAAGGATGAGCTTTTTAAATCGGAGATTGAGCATTCATCTCAGAGTTCATCAGGGTTTGATTAAGGTTGTAAATGTTTGCAAAACGTTTGCCTAATGTTCACCAGCAGTATTGGTGAAAGGACAGGCGAATGTCTGGCAACTGTTTGGCATATATTTGTGACCTTAACGAACCCTGACGAGAACACTTTGACCTTTGAAAACACTTGCAATTGTTCACAGCTCAGTGGGATACAGCTTTTATCACCATTGGTAGGTGACTCAGTGAACATCCGTCATTCGGTTGAACTGAGAATTACATGAACACAAGAGTGGCAAGGTCATGTGATTGAGATTGTCCTCATTTTGATATTAATATCTTGACTGTTTATATTTCGATTTTGATACGATAGCTATATCCCTCAGCCTAACATATACGCGCGCGGACACACGCACACGTACTTACGCACGCGTACTTACACACACACACACACACACACACACACACACACACACACACACACACACACACACACACACACACACCTGGAAATGACCGTTTTTCTTGTCTCCAGCATATTTTGAAAATGTTAAGAAAAAAATGCAACAAGAACTGTTTGTTGTTTAAAACTATGTGAATATCTAGCAAAACTTTTAACAAACCTGGTCGAACAAACAACTTTCACTATGTGCGCTAACACTCACAAACATTCACCGCTCAATGAGATACGGGCTTTAACTGCTGTCGAGTAAAGACCTGCAAAACATGGCCGCAAATGGTCCTCGTGCTGCGAGTTTGAGAACCGGGGAATCAACATAAACGAGAAGTAGGGAGATGCACTAAAGCTGATATTTAAAAGGTGTCTGCTTACCCATCTCGACCTTTGCTGACTATTTTGACTTCAAAATAGTAAATCCCACAGGCTGCAGGGATTGGATGCGTGGCTCGTACAGACGCGGCATCCTTGTGATTTTTGCCATGCCCTGCAACAAAAAAAAAAAAAAGAATTATCCATCCATCCGTCCATCCATCCATTCACCGCTGCTTATCCGGGGTCGGGTCGCAGGAGCAGCAGCTTTAGCAGGGAAGCCCAGACTTCCCTCTCCCAGCCACTTCTTCTAGCTCTTCCCAGGGGATCCCAAGGCGTTCCCAGGCCAGCTGGGTGACATAGTCTCTCCAGCGTGTCCTGGGTCGTCCCCGGGGTCTCCTGCCAGTGGGACATGTCCGGAACACCTCACCAGGGAGGCGTTCAGGTGGGATCCTAATCAGATGCCCGAGCCACCTCATCTGGCTCCTCTCGATGTGGAGGAGAAGTGGCTCGACTCTGAGCCCCTCCCGGATGACTGAACTTCTCACTTTATCTCTAAGAGAGAGCCCGGACACCCTGCGGAGAAAACGGTCACGACCCACAGCCAGTGACCATAGATGAGGGTTGGAACGTAGATCGACCGGTAAATTGAGAGCTTCGCCCTTTGGCTCAGCTCCTTCTTTACCACGACAGACCGATACAAAGTCCGCATCACAGCAGACGCTGCACCGATCCGCCTGTCGATCTCTCGCTCCCTCCTGCCCTCACTCGTGAACAAGACCCCAAGATACTTAAACTCCTCCACTTCTAAAAAGGAACTATGTTTACGTGAAAAAAGTTGCATGAATTCACTTCAGGATTTATATCGTCTGGTTTGCATTTACACATCTTTTTGAGTTAGGACATCTGCTTTTTATTGTTGAACCCCGAGGTAGGCAGGTGTAGAGTCAGATATTAGATGGAGGACGAGTTAAAACACACATAATAAAAACCGTGATGGCATATTTGAGGATAATACATTATAAAGTCTATATTTTAAATATAGTCTTCATTGAAGATCTATGTAAGGTTGTAGGACTAAGGTTTTCCATGTAGAGCAATTAGATTAATACAAAACAGTCATTCCTGTGATTTTCTTTCCCCCCAAATTCTGCGAATGCAATTTGTCAGGTCCTGCGAGAAAACCACAAACACAATTCAGGAGTGTATTGTTAACGACTATATGGCCTGTACAATATGTTTTGGCACATAGGATTGAGGGCGTTCACCTGCCCTAATTAATATTGTACGTAACATGTCATTGTGATTCTCTTTAGGTGTGCCACATGAAGATGCAGATAGGTTGTAAACTTATTCAAAATGTGAGATATTGTCTGTGTATGACATGAGCTAAGAAAAATCTTTCAATGACATTACAACAGTGGCCCCCAACCTTTTTTGGGTCATGGACTAGTTGAGACAAGTACACGCTGTTCGCGGACCGGCAATCATTTTTTTCATTGCTTTTAAATTGTCAGTTTTAAAGCACTGCTACTGACAACAAAAATAATTATAGATTATTTAAACATTATAATAACAGAGATTTGTTTTCATTCATTCCAAACAGTGTTATTCAACTGTACAACAAATGTAAAATAAAATATAACACAGTGAACCTACTAAGAAATGGATCAATCATGAGAAATAAATACGCCTTATAATGTAAACATCATAATTTTAAAGGTATGATCCGACATACAGCATTAGCATCATAGCTGCTTGCAAATGTGACTGATCAAACAATTGATTGCTGCTTTCATCCGGTGGCTGCCGACTAGTTATAAGCAACTAAACTGTTCATGTTTACGTGGGCAGACTGTACAAACTCTGCTCGCATTTTCATGCTTTCCACTTGATCGCTTGGGTGCTACTTGTTCAACCGATTCAAAAGGGTTCCTTGTATTGCCTTGTTTCTGACGACATACCATGCACAACAGCTTCTTCCTCCACAACTGGAGATACCACTCGGGGAGAAACTTCTCTTGTCAAAATAGCTTCATCTTCGGAAGTCATGGCTGCCCATCAGCTGTACAGTTGAGCTGTACGTTTGGTCAGTTTGTTACTATTACTCTCTGTTTGTTGCTTCTTCTTTCATTTATTGGCAGATTCTGTCCACTTCAACTTGCAAACCAATGTTAGAAGGGGGAGTCAGATTGGCTAAAGACCGTCGTGAACGACAAAAGAAATTGGATAGTTTGACAAGGCCATTAAGCAATGTGGCAATTCACTGCACATGTAAACTTTTTGCTTTAATAGCCAGAGAAACAGAGTTGGCCGCCGGCACCACCAATCATAAAAGTCAAAACAGTATACAATACACATAAGTGTGTTTTACAACAAAACATAACCATATTTACAATTAAATATGGAATAATGGAAGACATATTGAAGCTTGGGATAAAACATTTTTGAGAGCGCTTGCAACGCCGAAATCACTTGAATGAGAAGACTCCAGCTGCAGCCTTGGCGGTCTCTGGCGGTCGTGGCCCTTGCCTTGGTTCCAAATGAATGAGACTGAAGGGTTTTTTTTTTAATATGAATGACAGCGGGGAGCAAGCTTTGCATGCACCTCACGAAAGAAATTTACACCTCACCTTTTCATCCATTGGTGTATATTAAGTTGTACATATGGTTAAACATTTTTGATAAACATAGTATGTGTGTGCTGTATAAATTCGGCACTCTTCAAAGTCTGGTCTTCGAGAGGCCTTGCTTAGCCTGTTTCACATGTTTCCCTCATCCAACACAACTATTAGAATCATTATCAGGCTTCAGCAAAGCTTGCTGATAAACTAATCATTTTGAATCAGGTGTGTTCGAGGAGGGAAACATGTAATACAGGCTTTATAGGGGCACTAGAGGACGAGACTTAGGCATCCCTGGCACTGTATACACCGGCTACGTCTCTCTTGCTTAAACTCGGATATTGATTTTTCATGAAAGCTTCTGTGTAAGGTGCAATGATCAATCAATTCATTGACAACTATTGATTATCAAATTCATCGAAAACTTTTTGGAGAATTCATGAATCATTTGAAGACCCTGTTTAATCTAAAATAGTTCCAATCTTTGGAATTTCAGCCCCTCAACAGTTGATTATTGTCAAGATTTTTGTAGACTGATTATCTATGCGTTGAATCAAAATAAAACATTTCCCTTTACTTTGTGAAAACTATGCTCAACCTATTTGCCTATTTTCTGAGATGGACCAAATAGTAACTGTGCATTTTTTGTACTGTTAAACTGTTAATTGTTAGTAATTTGTGAGTACAACACAGCATGCATAGGCAATTCCTATTTTGAACCGCCGCAAAGGCAGTGGCCAAAACTCCACTCGTGAAATATTAAGGCAGAACCCCGTATTGCTATGAATGTGCGCCATGAATTGGAGGCTTGCGCAGATCTGTTGATCCTGCCTTAGTTGATTGGCATCTATAGTAATGGAAAATCAACAGAAGCCAGGCTGGGCCAAGCAAGGTGGGTATGGTATGGTGTCAGGCTGTTCTGGAACTTGTAATGGTAAAGCATTTCAAGTAACTAATCCTCACCTCCGTGGCGGCAAATAAGAAACACTTGTGACAGGTTGCGCCCCAACTCAAGGCAGACGAGGAGTATCTACAGGTACTGCGTAAGCATGCAAAACACCAGGCAACAAGAGGGAACACGAGAAGAATCGCTAAACTAATGTGAAATGCAGTCACGCAAGACCATTAACAAGTGCTTCGGTGTAGAGTAAGCTATTCATAGACGTCTGGCTAGGACCACGTTAAGGCGGAGAGTAACCAGCTAAAAACTGAAAATTAGCATTACAATTAATTATCTCGTAATAAAATAACAAAACAGCTACATAGTATGTGCACACTCGAAAACCGATAATGAACAGATACGGTTGATTTCAGCCATGACAAGGAGCTTATAAGATCAAAAATATATTACATATATCAGCAATGTTATATGCGTTTATTTGCACTATTTTGCACCACAAAGTACTGAGTCTTGAGACATATACAATAATCGGTATGAAGCAATTTTTTAATTTTTTTATTAATTTAGCATCGCTAAGGGACTACATGTTTTTTATTTGTTACATTTATTTAATTACATACAATCAAATGTAAACTAGCACAGAATAACAACTACATTTTCCGACCCTTTTAACTAGAATTACCATTCACATTTAAATAACTCAGTAAGAAATACTCCCATTATCATTTTGACAATTTCACACTTGTCACGTTGCGAGCAAAGCGGAAAGGAACCCGCTTCATTCGCAACCAAATTAATCTAAAGGATTCCCGAAACAGCAGACAACAACACGAACTCCGTATGAAAATAAGATTTATTAACAAAAACCGCACCGCAAAAACGAGAACAGAAAACGCTGGCAAAAAACGAGTACCAGGAAAACACGTAAAAACCGAATAACGAAAAACGCTCGCACTAAGGCAAAGGGGAAAAAACAAACTTGTCGCAATATAATACACACCGAGAATACAACACCAATTCTAACTCGCGCACAACGACGAAATGCGAAAATGTAAAGTACCGACACAATGGGCAAAGCAGTGGCACGGCAAGCAATTCTCCGGCAAGTGAGAGTACGAAAGACAGCCCTAATAAAGCCAGTGTCTAATTACAAATAGGTAGCAGGTGTGCATCCGGCCAGAAAGCACCGTCTGCCACCTGCTGACGAAAACGGGACATGACAACACTCACCACTACTGAAAGGATTCATTTTATATCATGATATTGACGTCAGGCCAAGCCCTCAGCCTCTATTTGAAGCAGTTAGGTCTCTCGGAAAAATATGGGGAGAAAAATATTTACATACAAACTTACATTTATGGACAACGAACATGTACATTATAACAAAATGTAAAACATTTTTGGTTAAAAGATATATTTGTTTACATGCACTATTACACATAATTGCATATGTATACTTTTATGATGACAAGCAATAGTTCTTGCCTTATTGAACCATTTTAAAACTTTGATAAAAGGACTACCTACCCCACACATTCTCTTTTGTGTCCGTGCATTATTAGAGTAATAGCATTTTGCTGCCGCTGTTGTGAAAGCGCTATATAAATCAGCATGTATTGTATTGTATTGTATTTTGATGGTATGATGTAAATATCTGTCATATTTGTAAATGTTACTGTACACAAAGAATACTACACTGAAGCTTGAGTTAAAGATAATCGTGAATTTATTAGAAATTGCAATACCTGTCAGAAAAATCGCAAATCAATGTTTTCGCACAATTGTTTAGCCCTATCGTAGTATGGTTACCGTATTTAAAAAATGATCTATTGTGAAGTATAGTGCTCAGTTGTTGCATTATTTTAATGGGTGGCGTATCAGGTTACCTCACACAAAACAACTAAACTCAGCTTTATTTATAGAGCACATTTAAAAACAACCGTAGCTGCTTACAAATCGTACATGGAGTGAAAATCAAACATATAAAAACATCTAGACAAAAGTAATAAAAACATCAATTCATTTCAATGCAAAAACTATTAAAAAAAAACAGTAAAACACAGTAGACACAACAAAACACAAAATTGGCATTTTTGCTGCTTAAAATGACTAAAACTACAATAAATGCTCCATTATTTGGACTATCTGCGGCCCCTACATGATCTGCGCCGCATGTGCAGAGGGTCGGTAGGTACGGCAACTACACTTGTACAAAAATACTTAGGGGACTTTAATACTTTGATTGAAATTAGCAAATAACACAAATACAAATGATAAAATACAAATGTTAAAATATGTAGGGATTATTCACACATGAAAAGGCTTTTTTGGGGGGGCACAGGCAAAGAAATCCCACCGAACGTCGTCAGTTTGCCGCTATTTTGGAGAAATCTGCAATGAATTGTGGGTGGTGTGCTTTGGCTGATGGGACATGAATGCCGAAGTGTGGAACAAAGGTGTGAAAGGAGAAGGACGACACAGTACTTTGGAGAATTGGGACACCTTCCACACTCGTATCCTCAAGGTGGACAAGCAATTGGGGGGCACAAGGGTGGAAGTGTGAGTAATGAGACAGAGCCAAAGTAAACGACTGCTGATTCCCTACCTTTCATAAATATGTGACACATTCTTAAAAAAAGAAAAAAAAATTGCCTTGGTTGTGCACTACTCTGTCGAGTAGTAAGGTATGTGCAAATACATGTGTATGAATGACTCATTCCCCGTCCATTATAATCAAACCATAATATGAGTATGGATGAAAAGAAGAAACACACAATTAAAGTCATGTTTCACAAGTTGCAATACAGTTGCGATCAATGAGGAATTGTGGCTTTATATTTACAGAGTTAAGTGTCTATATGGACGCTCTCTTACATTGCACCATACGGTATCGCATTCCTGAGAATTTTTGTGGTCAGGATCTTGCTAAAAAGAACAAATGCAATAGCTTCCATTTCCAGCTGGACTTGATTCAGTAACTCTTGTAGTAAACAAAACGCATGAATCTTGAAATTTCGGCTGTGACTGCGCCAGATTAGCTTTGTGTGCAAGAAGAGTTCAACGGTCGTTCTTATTTATCTTATACACGAGCCCCTGACACAGCTGCTCGCCTTGAACAGGGAAGTTTTTTTGGTCAAAATAGCATTGAAACCACAAGCGTGAGGGAACAGGGCAGTCGCTGGAGCAAGTAGCAAGGAAATATATATGGCATGGTAATTTATCATCCCAATATCACTCATTCATACACATTTCGATACAAATATCTCAACCATGACATGGCATGCCTGAAGTAAACATTATTTAGATTAAATGTAAAGTATTGATAAGAAGATAATTCTCAGACTATGTCAACATCCATACAAAGCTTGAACTCAAGTGTGAGATATAGTAAATCGGACCACGCTTTTGTCAACAGGGCCAGCTATATTCTGCATGATATAATCAGTGAATTATATCCGACTCTGCATGTCAACCTAGATTTAAACGTAAGGCCGTTAGCTGCTATGCACAAAACAGAAGGGCATTTACCAGGTTTGTAATTTGTCAAACAGAGTACTGTATCGTGCAGCATCTTTGAGTCACGTTTAAGTGATGAAAACCAGACTCGGTGTCTCAATGGGCAAAATAGAAGCCTCCCTTTTTGAAAGTTTGACCTGATGGAAAGTAACAGAAAACAGACCTTAGTTCTAACATGGCGTTATAGAAATGACACATTATCGATATGAAATAAAAACAACAGACATTCTTGTCATCAGGATCGGCGATTGATTCCACTGCAGGAAAAATACTTTCTGGTTTAGGCAAATGTCGACAATCAGGATTGACCATTTTTTTGGCCTTCTGTATGCGCAGCGGCCTCCAGCAGCTGTTGAAAACGAGCTGGTTGCCTGTTAAGAGGCATCAGACTGTTGTGCGCTCGAGACAAATTCGGATTTAACTGAACTGGGCACACCGTTAAGCTAATTTGATTTTTGATGTATTTATTTATTTATCTTAACAACGAGAACGCTGTCAATAATGGGATACCTGGACTCTATTTTGGGTGATAATTCATGACAAAAACAACAACAACAACAACAACAAACAAGCAATTGGATCGTTCCTCTTAGTGTTGTCGAGTTAAAAGGTTAACACGTATGTTTCGTATCCATCTTGTGGCCTGTTTATCCTGTCATCCTAGCTCCCCACTAGCATACTAGTCACAAGTCAAAACTAGATCGGAAACGTTGGTTAGCTAGCTAACTACCGTGCATTGCTGTTAGCTAGCTCCTAAATACCAACAGAGCCCTCAATGTACATCATAAATTATCTATGACCCAGAAATACAAACAGTAGAGTGCGTCAAATACGATGTCATGTCACTGCAAATAACAACGCCATTAGTGACATATAAGGAAAGGAAGCAGAGTTGATGAAGGGTAATTTCAGTATTGTTATTGGATGAATTGCCGAACTGAGTGAGTTCACCCTTTAGGCATTTATCTACTCGTCTGAGACACAAAGCAAGGCTAAGGGCAAAAAGGCAGCTATTACTGGATTCACCATTCACACCGTCAACATGATTATAGAGAGAAAGACAGATAACCATCGTGACAAATACGAGCTACCACACTATTAGTATGACTAACGTTACTATTCCACACAGCATGAAACCAAATCTCAAACCTTTGTAATGGACCCTCAGGTTGCTCTGTGACAGCCCAATGTAGCTGTATTTATCCTTGGGACTCCATGATCTGGGTAGAGGGGTCTCTTCCTCGTTCACGGCCGGGTAAAGCCGCTTGAGTCGCTCATTCAGCTCATGTTCTTGGTAATTAAAAACAGGATCCCCCAATGACAGGCTCCCCGCACCAAGCTCTGCCATTTTTTGGCCTGTGTCTTAATGTTCGCTTCTTTCTATGCAATCCCCGTCTCACTTCACTGGAACTGTACGCTGAAAGTGAGAGGGGACTGTGAGGAAAAAATAGCAGTGGTGTGACATCCCCGGATAAGCAGCAGAATGTAGTCACTGTAGTGTGGAACAGTGCCCTGTGGGTATTGTAGTTTTTGATTATGCTCTTTAATGCGAATGTTTCCAGAAAAGACTACACTGCTTTGCTACCGCACCCCCTGAGGGGTCCTTCACTAACCAAGGTGGCAAGAAAATGTCGTTTTCCCAATGAAATGGCTAATGCAATCTGTCGACACTTTTATACATGTTTACGTTACAATTTTCACTCTTCATATTAGATATGTTAACCAAGCAAAGTTTTATATCATTCCTAATGTATGAAATGTTTACGTTGACCTCATAATGCATAAGAGAACGCAAAAGACAAATATGGCGTGTAATTCCACCGTAAACATCTCGGGCTTTTAAAGTGATTGGTTAGCAAGTGATCCAAGTGAGGTTTTTGTGTATTATTTTGATTTTGAAGTCACACAAATATTGCCATGTTCGTTGCTGTTGTTGGAAATCATTCATGGTGGTTTCAATGTTCTATAAAATTCGTCATTTGCATTTTCTCGATGAAAAAAAGTAAATTTACGTTGTTTTGTGAGTGGGACTTTCGCCTTTGGAAAACTAATCAGGCGCGTTGTGGCCTACTATATGAAGGTCTTTCCGTTGTTCTTCGTTGTGGTGGTAACCCGTGGCAATTCCGTGATGCGCGTAGAACAGTCCCTGGCCATCCCCATTCCTTGTGGGCAATTTTGATATCTGTGATTTTTCTACCATTTTCACATGGATGCACAAGTCTTAGACCACTTGACACTCCGCCACATTTTTTAAATAACTGCATATTTAAAGAAAAAATATACAATTGATCTGAACGCAAACTCTAAAACAATCTGTTTTAAGTTAAAAAAAATAACACCTTAAAATCTTTCTGTCAATTCCAATCAGAATCATTACTTTGAGACAGCAATTCATGCCTTCGTCACATCCCGGCTCGATTACTTCAATGCCCTTTACTTTGGAGTCAGCCAGTCCTTCATTAAGTGCCTCCAGCTGGTCCAGCATGCCGCTGCTCGCCTCTTGACTGGTACTCGTAAGAGGGAGCACATAACTCCTATTCTGGCATCCCTTCACTGCCTCCCTATACATTTTAGAGTTATTTTCAAGATCCTGTTATTTGTTTTCAAATCTCTAAATGACCTCACGCCACCTTACCTCTCTGAGCTCATCCGCCCCTACACACCTGCCCGGCGCCTCAGGTCTGCGGACCTAACATTATTACAAGTACCAAGAACTAAACTGAGGCTCAGAGGGGATCGAGCCTTTTCCGTTGCTGGTCCCTCTCTCTGGAATGACCTTCCACTGAACATTCGGCAAGCCTCCTCGCTGCCCATATTTAAAACCCGCCTCAAAACTCACTTGTATTCTTTGGCATTTGACTCAGCATGACCCAAATTATGATCTTAGTTATACTGTTTGGTGCTCTCTACCGTCTTTGTTACTGATTTGTTATTTTGCTTTACTGTTGTATATGTTAGTTGCTCCGTGTACAGCACTTTGTGTGCAGCGATGGCTGTTTGAAAGTGCTCTATAAATACATTTGAGTTGAGTCCATAGTATGCATGCTGAGAAGTAATTGTTTGTCATAACATGGTTTATCACAAGTCACACATTCTTCAGCAGGATCTGTTGCAGTTCTTCCATGGATGTGAGATGGCAGCTGATGATATTTTGGGCTGTTTTAATAACCCCCTGGACCACTTTCCTCTGTGCCACTGCAGCTGCTGAATGCCCCCCCCCATACATAAGTGAAGATGATCACAATGGATAGATAACATAGCACATAGTCCACTGCTGCTGCCCTGTTGGCCCAGTTGGCTAACTGGTGGGGTCAAGGCCAGGGGACTGAAGTCATGTGATGTGACCCAGGACTGGAGCGGTCTGAAAAAAAATGGATGGATGGAGTTGCTGTATTTTGTTGAGATTCGTAATATCAGATATTGCGTGTATTTGTTGTTGTCGTTGTATGATGTCAACGGAATAAATACGCATCGTGTAGGCGATGTTCGTTTTAAAAACTACAATGCCCACAATACACTGTGTCAAGTGACGGAATCCTTTTACTACGTGCAGTGTACGTAAAAGTCGCACTGTGTCATCTGTACCCGGCCCGGGTTTGCGAGGTAAGGATTGTTGTTTATTTAAAGCAAAGGCTTTTGAAAATGGTCAACGTTAATCTGGAAAATAGGAGCTACTGTTTGATCTCGCAGTGAATCAATTTGTGATTGTTTCCTGGTCGAGTTGGGCACGCCTATGTCTGTTAGCTAGCCAGTGCTGTAGCTCTAACTCAGTGAAGACTAACAATTCGGGACATAGTACTGTATTTATTTTTAGCAACCGGCGAAAGGGTCAGTAATATATAGTCAGAAGGATACCGCATGGGGACACCGTGTTACAAGGCTTCTCAAGGGTTTAGAAGGGATGAAACACGCTTTGATCGGTTATTGGTAAAATAGCGCGCACCGCCGTTAGCTCGGTGGTTCAGCAGCTAAATGCTAGGAAGCTATAGCTAACTGTTCGTATGCAAGCATGTCTAGAATGAGCGATAAAAATAACCTTGCCATCTTTCGCCCTTACTGACATGTTAATTGCAGGCAGAAGACCTCGTGAAACTGCGTTTTGTCGAGCCAAGTGTTCAATTAACCTGGTCGCTAGCGTATTCCATCAAAATATGCTGTGGTCGAAATCAGCAATGTGAACATGTTTTACAAGTCGACGGCTGGGTGTCCCGCGTGCTAACGAAACGCCCTGCTGTGTCACGCAGACTCATGTACCGTATCAAGATTATCCGGATTTGAGCGCCATCAAACGTTGACGCCTCTCTGACTCAGTAATACTGTAACACATTGCATAATTATCGCTCTGACAGAGCCGACTAACTGTCTACTATGATCTTAATCGATTTTGTAAAGCGTGCATTTGTTTGTTTGTTCATAGGACCTATAAACAGATAACAGAAATTTGGTATGAAGTAAAACGGAAGTACAAAAAATAATAAAATAAGAAAACCCCCCAGTAATTTAGCAGTTTACATGTTTAAATGAAGTAGGAAGAAGTGAAAAACTTACCCAGTCCTACCTCCCCCTTGTTCTTTGCAATTCATTGCATTCTTCTTGTAAGTCCATATCTTACTGAGTTGAGTGCACATGTAGTGAATGTTGTTTTTTTTTCGTTTTGTTTGTTTTTGTCAGGGTTTCATTCAGTGTTGCAAAGATATTCCCCAGACACAGTTTAAACGTTTGTAAACAGTTGAAAATGTTTAAAATTTCATGCTGACAAGAAAAACTGCTTGAGACAATTGTTGTTGAACGTCTTAGTTTGTGACCTTTAATGAACCTGAACAAAAGCAATTGCTACATGCACACACACTTGCTAACCTTCTCCCCTCAATGAGATATTAAATCTTAATCACCTGTCCCATCCAGTGGCGAATAGTTGCAAGTGTTTTCGAAGGCAGCGAATGTTGTGTTCCCGTCAGAGTTCGTTCAAGGTCGCAAAAGTTCGTGAAACGGTCCCTCGACGTTTGCCGACACTTTTCTTGTTGCACGGGAAATATGAACATGTTCAAAATTCCTGTGCAACAAAATAAAATCACTGTAGCTATTGACGCGAACGTTAGCCAAACATTTTGCGAACATATGCGACCTTGAAAGAATTCTGACGTCAACTCACATTATGGATGTATGTATATGTGTGTGTGGACATATTTGAGCCTGGCCGTGTGCTTTTTTCCAGAAGTCGTTGGGACAGTAACAACACAGTGCCGTAAAGTGTCGTGTTGTTGGTGCACAACTTCTATGATGAATATTTTTTTTCCCCCAGTAGCACCCAGTTGTTCTGTACATAATCCGTCGACGAAGTATCATTATACATCAGTGCCCTTGCTCCTCACCTCCATTATATGGTCCCGCTGATGTGGTGCTATTTTAAGGCTAGTGGCAAACAGACTAGTCAAAGCTAGCGACATTAGGTTTAACCCTGTTACGTGCACCTTTATCCAAGCGTGTCCCGGCCATCGGGCTACTACTACATGTTGAACCCTGATAACATATGTTATTGGTCACATATTCAAATCTCCGTGACACAGGCCAGGACATTTTTTGATTAGTGTCCCAAGAATGCTGAAGGATTGGTGTCAGTTGAAATTGTACTGTGGCTGAGGTTGAACACATTTCATTGTACAGGACCATGGCCATTTCCCATGAAATCTCTGTGATCATTTTTTACTTCTCTCTTGTGTCCCATGCAGAGTGATTCAGAATGCAGGACTCACCGTTGTGGGAGCAGATAGGCACTGGCTTCGTGCGACACTATTACCAGTTATTTCAAAATGACAGAGCAAAACTGGCTGATCTGTATGTGAGTGCAACTTTAGCTTCATCTAGACCTTTAAACTTTGAGCCATGCTGTTTAAAAAAAAAAAAGTCTTGTTGAACACTTTTTTGAAGAGGTTGTAAGAAAGACTCAAGATTCATGAAAAATATTGCCGTAATAAAATCAAAAGTTGGAAGGAATAAATTGTATCCAGTTGAATTATACAGTGATTTTAGGTTTTTTTTTTGTTTTTAACTTAAAAACATTCAAACCAACCGTTTTACAGGGGCTGTGAACTCAGAAATCACAAATGCATATGGTTGTAGTTCATAAACTCCCACTTAAACACTGTCTGTCTATCACACAGATAGCAGAGTCGTTACTAACCTGGGAAGGGGAAAAAATCTGCGGCAAGGATGCAATTACCAAGAAACTTCTTGTAAGTTTTTCTGCTTGAAATGTATACATTGACAATGTTGCTTTCATGGCTGCTGATGTAGTGATTGGTCACAAAGAACCAAGCTATAGGAGCATGCTATATCATCGCCTTGCTAAAATAATGGCCTATGTAAGTTTTTTTGACCATTTCCCCAACTGTTCTGCCTCAATCATCTCAAGATGCTGGCCACCTTTGCTAAAAATTGCAGTAGTTTGCAAAAGTATTTGGCCCACTTGAACTTTTTAACTTTTTTCACCCTTTCAGGCTTCAAACAAAAAGACATAACATGGGAATCTCTTCAGGAATAATCAACACCAGGTGGTACAACAATTGTGAAGTGGAAGGAAATAAACTTTTTCTAGGGGAAAAAAACGGAAAGTGAAGTGTGCAATATTGTTTGGCCACTTCATGTTAGAGTTCATGGCAAGATGAATGCAACCAGATGCATAGCCATTCTAGAAGAGAACCTGTTGGAGTCTGCAACAGACCTGAGACTGACACCGAATTCCCCTTCCAACAAGGCTGTGATCCGAAACATAAAGCAAAATCTACAATGGAATGGTTCAAAACTAAGCATATCCAGGTGTTAGAATGGCCAAGTCAAAGTCCAGACCTGAATCTAACTGAGAATCTGTGCTGATTCTACAAAGTATTAATCCAGGGGGCGGGGTCACCAAATAATTTTGCGCACCACACTTTTCTTCAAAAAAACAGTTTAAAACATCAAATAAATTTTGTTCCCTCTCACGATTCTACCCCCAAAATTCCAAATGTATATCTTTGTTTGAAGCCTGAAATATGACAGAAGGTCAAAGTTCAAGGGGTCCAAATACATTCGAAAGCGACTGTACCTACATCTTCATTTGAACGGATCATGCAAAATTATTAAAAGTATGGGTTTTCTGATCAGTGTTTCATGCTGCCGACTACGATACCGATCATCCACGAGCTGGGCCAATACCGTTTCAATTTCATGTTGCACTATGTGACTTGCATTCAACTCATAAATATGGGAAAAAATGCCATGTAGATCAGGGTCTCAAAGCAAATTGTCACTGTACTGTGAAAAAAAAACGTATGTCCATTTTAAAAATAAAAAGTTTTTGGGTTAATGGGTTGTTTTGGACATCACATTAATGTAATTTTGTTTTTAAATGACAAAAATGGACATCCGTGATTTAAGCAACATCAATCTCAACTACACTGTACATTAACTTTCCCTGTGTGTGTGTGTGTGTGTGTGTGTGTGTGTGTGTGTTTGTGTGTGTGTGTGTGTGTGTGTGTGTGTGTGCGTGAGACAGAATCTGGGCATCAAAAAAATAGGGCATACTATTACAGCACATGACCACCAGCCAACCACAGACAGCTGCATCCTGAGTATGGTTGTAGGACAGCTCAAAGTAAGTAGTGCCACAAATGCAAAGTTTTAGTTGTACCCGTGTTAAGCTTGTCACAATACAAGTTGACTGTGGACATTTTTGTCAGATTTTTTTTTTTTTTTTTTTTAATTTGGTTTGTTTTCAGCTGTTTGATTGAAATCATATTTGGTGGAACTGATGTGCCGGTGGCTGTCTCAACAGCTGCTATTTTTGTTTGCAGGCTGACAACGACCAAATCATGGGTTTTCATCAAATTTTCCTCCTGAAGGAAATAAATAGCGCTTGGGTATGCACCAACGAAATGTTCAGGCTGGCTCTTCACAACTTTGCCTAAACAGTTCTTCTACTCTGGTGGGCATGGGCAAGCCATAGTGGTGGAGGGGAGAGAAGAGTTGACCTTGGAAAGATGGGATAAAGCTCAAGCTTCCCTCCTGCTGTCTGCTTTTCGTTTGTTTGACATGTGAACACCGGAATCTAATTGTCAATCACTGAGCCCAATCCATCGCAGACAGTACAAATGTAACTCTTTTCTTTCTCTGCTGATGGCGGCCAACCCATCAAATACCATTCAAGACACTCACTCTGCTCCACACCTGTAATTCTTTTACTCAATTCTGTTTGACTTCCATCTAATTTTAGATCATGCTTGGCTCAGTTTAGTTCAGCATCATTTCAGGTGTAGATGCCACACTTTATGTGTGGTTATGTTTTTACAATTCCTTTTCACCACGCCCCTTGCCAGTTTCTCATTGTCATGCCACCAAAGACTCATTTAAGACAATGTTTGAGTTTGCTGTGTTATTCTACATTTCCTCCCTCCAAATATCTTGCTTTATTACACAGAAATGTTTGGCAATTTTCATGGACAAAAGCCAAAATTCACAATAAAACCAGACTTGTTTTTCATAATGTTGTTGACTTGTCTCTATGTATCACTGAAGGATGAACTATGCCTCTTTTGAATGCACGCAATGTTTTAAATATATATTTTCTAATGAATGCAGAAAGTTCAGCACTTGATTACCTTTTCCCTTACAAGTGGCTAAAATCATGACAACATATTTGTATTTTGCAAAAGAGCACCTGGATCATCCAGGCTGGATGTTCCACAGCACTGCGGGCAAACTTGTATGAACGGATTAAACCACATTTGAGTTGTCTGGAAGGAACATACAGTGCTATGTATGGATTTAAATAGGCATAGCTTATAACCATCAAAACCTCATCCAATTTATGATATATAGTGGAAGGGCATCTTAGTTTGGGACTGGTTTTCCTTTGGGTTTGGATGTGTTGTGATCGCTGAAAAACAATTCAAACCTGAAGATATTTTGGAAGATAACTGAAAATAATCTGTCTATCAATTGAAGCTCAACAGAAAATGGGCCATGTTAACATGATGACCCACAGGACCGAAATAAATCAACTGAAATGCTACAACAAAAGAAAATACACCTCCTGTATTTGCCTTATCCTGACCTAAACCCAGTTTAGATAATGTGGTGCGACCTCACGGGAGCAATTCACACCAGGCGCCCCAAGACCATTGCTGAACTAAAGGTTTTGTTGAGTGGTCCAAAATGCTCTTGTGCAACCACACGGGAAATGTTTGGTTGAGGTTAATGCTGCCAAAAGAGTTTCGACCATGAATTAAATCAGAAGTGTGCATCCTTTTTCTGGTTGAGACTATTTGCATGTGTTAAGTAAATGGAAGCGATTGTTTGTTTTGCTGTGGTATATAAAAAAAGAACTGTTTGTGTTTAGCTGACTTAGATGATCAAAATCACACTGCAGAAGCAACCCAGCAGGGCCTCCTGTAGCCCCCTTCACGACCCCCCCAATATCTCTCTCTCTCTCTCTCTCTCTCTCTCTCTCTCTCTCTCTCTCTCTCTCTCTCTCTCTCTCTCTCTCTCGCGCACACACACATACTCAGTACGGTAGGGTACACGAATGAGGATTTTTCGGATCTTAAAAGATATATACATTTTTAAATTTTGGGCAGAATGCGCACATGAAGGCATTTAACAGTTTTGGTTCAATTGTCTTCCCACATGCATTTTCTTTTCCACTACTGGTCAAGAATCAAGTCCTGAAAAGGGACAGCCTTCGGCCCGCGTGATCACACGTGACTTTACAAACACGAAGACAACCAGCATGATCCAGTTATGCGCCGATGGTTGCCGAGTGTTTCCGAAGAGGACGGCAGACGGGAACGTCGTAAGGTTGCAAATGTCGGCAAGGAAATACATTCATTCATTCATTCATTTTCCGAACCGCTTGATCCTCACTAGGGTCGCGGGGGAGCTGGAGCCTATCCCAGCTGTCTTCGGGCAGTAGGTGGGGAACACCCTGAATCGGTTGCCAGTCAATCGCAGGGCACACAGAGACGAACAACCATCCACGCTCACATTCACACCTAGGGACAATTTAGAGTGTTCAATCAGCCTGCCATGCATGTCTTTGGAATGTGGGAGGAAACCGGAGCACCCGGAGAAAACCCACGCAGGCCCGGGGAGAACATGCAAACTCCACACAGGGAGGCCGGAGCTGGAATTGAACCCGGTACCTCTGCACTGTGAAGTCGACGTGCTAACCACTGGACTACCGGGCCGCCCAAGGAAATACATGCTTTGGAAAATACATCCTGCCGTCTGGGGAACCCACGGTTGTGCGGAAAAAAAGACATAGAATAGACCGCCTTCCGCCTGAAGAGGGCAGCGATAGACTCCAGCGCTCCCGTGACCTGAGTGAGATAGGACAAGTGGTTCAGAAAGTGGAATGGATAAACAAACAGTGAAGCCGGAAGACGTTCTTTACTGCTATATATCTTCTCGGTCGGCGCAGCAGCGGACAAAGAAGAACATTTTCTGTGAGAAGGCAAAACAAGCTTGATAGAAACATATTACGGTCGTATTTTTTCCCGACGTGTGCTAAATAAACATAGAACAGAAGATCAAATACATTTTTTTCAATTTCCAAGTTTGAAACAATAAACGGGAGAGGTCACCCCGTTCAACAGAAATAGAAACACTCCCATCTGGCGGCCGGACGAGGCACGGCCTTTCCACACGTGAATATGTTGAAACGGCATGTAGTTTGTGTCAAAAATAAATGTGCGCCTTCGCTGATCCACAAACATTCGACAATAAAACGCAGAATGTAATATTTTCAAATGTTGACTCATGATAAATGCACACAACATTAATTAAAACACGTCTGAAAATTGCGTATAGATTTGTGTTTCTGGGAATAAAACACGTGAAGATTGCGCATGTATTCGTGGAAATGTTTTGAGACAAATCTCTTCCAATACTACATGCAGCCGTTGCTATACAGAACTTGTGGTGCAGTCACAAATGTTTTCGTTTATTGTTAAAGTGTTAATTTATGCAATAATTATGAAATAGAATTGAAAAATAGCGTTACCAAAGTACACGAATCAGATACAAATGTGAATATCTCCCTAGAGACAGGCGCATTTACTGTATAATCATATATATATATA